ATCCACACTTCAGTTGTAGTAGGACACTCGATCACCTCAGCAGCAAAATCGGCTTTGATGGCATCGCAGACTTCATTAATGATGAGGGAGATGGTGTTTGGAGCAACTCTGAAGTTGTAGGACAGGCTTGGATAATTGTCCCAACAGGCCAAGTGTGATGGACAGCTTGAGACCAGGAGGGGGAGACTTTCTGTACCATGTATGCTTCTACTCTATTCTGCCTTCTACCCTTCGCAGCACCTCATCGTAGAGGCCTCGGGGAAGTCTTGTGTAGTTGTAGAAGGCCTTCTCATCTTCTGTCTTCAGCTCATTTAGTAGAGAGCTATAGTGGCCATAGCGTTCTCTTCTCTTCTGACCCACATAGACCTCGGTTTCCTCCTTCGCCACGGTTTGCCCCTGCCCTGGAAAAAATAAAGCAAAACAAGATAAGTACAGTGTCGAATGCTAGAAAGGCAAATGGCAAGAAGTGAGGTGATATGGGGTTAACGTCGCGTACAAGATTATTGTCCTTATATAGCGACGTGCATGTACGTGTGTGTATTTGTGTGGTTGCTTGTAGTAGTCTGGACTGATGCCTATTTATAATGCTAGCTCACTGAGATACCATGCCGCAGTTTAACATGAATACCCCACAAAGACACAGTATACTGACTCCGAGCCGACCAGTCCTTGTTTTAGCCCCTTAATGCCGAGCGCCAGACAGGGAAACAACAAGTACCATATTTTAACGTCTTTTGGTATGATGCGGTCGGGAATCGAACCCCGGACCTTCCGCTTTTCGGGCGGACGCTCTACCACTAGACCACGGGGTCGGTGCAATTAGCATGAAATGACAAAGTGAAATAAGACAATTTTTACCTGTAAGAGGAGGTGCTGGGCCTGTAACAGTTGCATATCACGTTCTCTGTTCTCTGTTCTCTCTGAGGTGCATCAAAAGAAGAAATGCTGCTGCCTTCTTTTTCCTGGTTGTCACATCATCAAAGTATGCAATTCTGCAGGAACTGAATAGTGATTAATTGTGATTGAAGCTTTGGGAGTTACACACGCCTCTGCTCTGTAGAGTTGCTCAGGACTGACTGAGGAAGATGCTCTGAGGCTGTAACGTTTACATGTCCACGTTACCATGGGAAACGCTTGAGCTACTCAAATTCGGCTGTCTTCGCCGACACCCTGGTCCCATCTCGATGTCATCGTACTATAATACGATGGCTACACAACGGCATTGCAAGGGCTTCACGAAGTCGTGTTGCCTTCCTAAGACAATCGGGCAGCTTCTTGTTTCCTTCGTATTGTCTTCTTGGACGAAAAATGCCCGATGGAACCGATGATGACACGAAGTAAAGACGAAGATGACACGACTTGACAAGATGCCTCCACGATAGCCTTACGAAGGGCAAAATGGACACACGAATTCAAAACGAAAATGAACCTTCGCAAGGTCTTTCGTGAATTTTTTGGCATGCCAAAGATTTTGCCACCGCTCACGAAGTTGCTGCCGGAGCCTGAGATACTCCACCGGCGGTCATACGATGGCTTAAGATGCCCTCACGAATGGCCCGATGTTTTTACGATCAGAGCCGAATTTGAACATTTCCTTTATCGTGTGACCATCTGGTGTCAATTTCGGGACAGTGTGACACCTGCATTACAGGCGTAAACGTGCAGCGAGTTTGAGCATGCTTTTTAATTAGTTTGTGGATTTGGCGCATTGTTATTATGCATATTATTACACCCAACACCTTCATTAACAAGGTGAGGTGAGGTGAAATTGGGTTTAACATCGCGTTCAAGATTATTGCGCTTATATAGCGACGTGCATGTACGTGTATGTGTGTGTGTGTGGCTGCTTGTACTAGTCCGGACTGATGCCGATTTATAGTGCTAGACCAATGAGATACCATGCAGCAGTTTAACATGAATACCCCACTCAGATACAGTATACTGACTCCGAGCCTACCAGTCCTTGTTTAAGCCCCTTCATGCCGAGCGCCAGACAGGGTAACAACAAGTTACATCTTTTAACGTCTTTTGGTATGACGCGGCCGGGGATCGAACCCCGGACCTTCCGCTCTCAGGGCGGACGCTCTACCACTAGACCACGGAGGCGGTCCAGGCATAAGAAAGGTTCCACTCACGTTTGATGGTGGCTAAAATGAAACAAACAAGAAATGGTTATTCGATGTTGATGTATTTGATGCGGATATCATAGTTGTTGTTTGGACCCTACGTTGCAATGTTTCGCTGACTGTTTGCAACTAGTAACGTTTTGATAACGTCTGCAGGTTCTTTTGGTAAGATTCAATTTTCAAGTGTATACTTTCGTTTGCCCGGCAGTGTAAATTGAAATATGGCATAATTCGTTTGTTACGTCGTAGATCGGTCACGTACGAGATTTTATTGCGTTTAGGTTGCATTACACCAAAGTATGTCATCAAAAGGTTGTCAGAATGTGGCCCCAAGTCAATAACGAATACCCCACTCAGATACAGTATACTGACTCCGAGCCTACCAGTCCTTGTTTAAGCCCCTTCATGCCGAGCGCCAGACAGGGTAACAACAAGTTACATCTTTTAACGTCTTTTGGTATGACGCGGCCGGGGATCGAACCCCGGACCTTCCGCTCTCAGGGCGGACGCTCTACCACTAGACCACGGAGGCGGTCTTCATTAACAAATGAAGCATGAAATTACCATACAGATATATCTAATTGTTATATCTTTGCGTCGATGCTAGTTTTAATAACAGTCTGCATTCTGTCCACGCCACTTGCGATGTATGCCTCTGTGGATTGGTATACAGTAATCTTTGTGATAGTGATGGAATGTTACGTCGTTTTTATCAACATTCCAGCTGTACCACGGAGACGTGTTGCCAGTCTGGGCCAGACAAACCAGTGATTGGTACAGGGTGAGACTAACAACGCCCCACACTGTCGGGAACGGTCACACATATTCAGACAACTCACAGAGCTTAACCGACCGACCCTCACTTTAGCTGGCTCTTACGACAGGCATGAGGAACGTGAGTGAGTTTGGTTTAACGCCGCTTTTAACAATATTCCAGTTATATCGCGGCGTGTCAGCTCAATGTGGGAGGAAAGCCCGAAGTGATGCAGGTCTCAGACGTTTACCACTTCGGTGAAACCCACGAGCACGGGTATGGTGCTGACAAACCTACAAACATAATTGGGGCGAACCGGGATTCGAACCCACAATCATAGATTTCTGGCGCGCCCAAGGGACGCAACTCTGCACAGCGAATCGCGGCGCCTTAGACGACTGGGCCACCCGTGCCCCCGGCATGAGGAACGAACAGTTCTTCGGACGATTATAGAATATTAGTGTTTGTTCGTTCGTTTGTTTGTTTGTTGTTTAACGCACTCAGCAATATTCCAGCTATATGACGGTGGTCTGTAAATAATCGAGTCTGGACCAAATGATCCAGTGGTTGACATCATGAGCACCGATCTACGCTATTGGGATCGATGACATGTATCAACCAAGTCAGCGAGCCTGACCCCCCGATCCCGTTAGTCGCCTCTTACGACAAGCATAGTAGCCTGTTATTGCAAGCCTGGGTTGCTGAAGACCTATTCTGCACCGGATAACATCACGGAAAGTTTGTTAGTGATTGAGTAGGCTCACTGATAATAGTCCTAAGGACTTTAAGGTGTGTTGAGCTTGGTGATTCAGTCATTTATTTTGTAAATTCATTTTTTAACCATGAAAAATTGTTTACATTTATCTATCATTTGTTTGTTGTTTGACGCCGCATTTAGTAATATTGTAATTATATGACGATTGTCTGGATATAATCTGGACTAGAGATTGATATTGTGAGCAGCGATCCACGCCGTCAGGATACGTATCCGATTACACGGTATCAGCCGAGTCATCCAGCCTGACCGTACGGTCCATTACGCCGTCTCCAACCCTGATCGTCACGGCAGACAAGCAGACCCCTATACACACACACGTGCAATAATCTTCAACGTGACGTAAAACCCCATTTCACCTCACCTTACGTCTATATTAGTGAGAGAAGTCTTTGTTTGGCCTTTAGAAGTTGGCGGAACATGAAAACATGAAACGTTTATGCACAACATTTTTTTTTGTAACGCCATTTCATGGTTTCTTGCCCTTCACCCGGTGAGGTCTGATGTGGGGGTGCGTACTGAAACGTCGCCATTTACAATTAAGAAGTTGTCATCTGTAAACGTTTCATGTCTGCCAGTGAAAGACAGGTAAGGTTCAAAGATTGCAAGGTATTCAGTACTGCAACTTTGAACCGTGAGGAGCTCGACCTGTCCTCAGCTTCTTCGAATCCCTGGTTCTTGTTCCAGAAGTCTGATCATAAACGATGGACTGTCGGTGCCATGGTTACACGTGCTCATCGGTTTCACGCAAGTGCATGACTTGCATGATTTCAGGTCCATCCAAGCTGACACGTGTTAACACTAAAATCTATCTACGTCCCATTTATGTTAACGTAATGCTCATCAGGTTCTATTTTAAAATGCTTCGGAAGACAATTTCACAAACGACAACCATCTAGATTCGCCGCGAAAAACATCAAACCTGCTAATACGACTTTAATCTATGAGGCTTTTGTGTTGTTTAACGCCGCAATAGGTAAGATTCAATCCTCATGACAGCTGCCTGTAAATATTCCAGTCTGAACCACACAACCTTCTGATCGATATTGCGTGCAACGATCCACGACGCCGGGTTACGATGACATGCAATCAACCAATTCACCGAATCTGACAACCCGATCCATGAAGTCGCTCCCCGCGGATGTCGGCATGGGATGCTGGAGACCAATCCTGACCCGGAATCCTCTCTGGGATAATGATTGGCATCATGAAAGGGACAAATTGGCATTCTGGGAAAGAATATAGGTCCCCAGCAACCTATGGTTGTAGTAAGAGGTGACTGAATAGACAAACCTTAAACAGTAAGGGAAGATCACATTTAATGAATAAATGACAATGTGATTACCTTTCCGCAAACTTGATGCGCCAATCCTTCATGCATTGATCAGGTGTTGAGAGGGTGCGATAGGTAATCAACGGTGCCCCAGACTCAAGTAGCAGAACATGCGTTCGTTGCAGGTGGCGCTACAACCCAATCTGGTTGGCTTCATCAGCTCAATGGTGATCTGATTGCTGCGCCAGGCAGTAAAAGCTTCGGAACTGTCCGCTCTGTTAAGAAATCAATTTCGTTTAGGTAACTGTAGTTTTCTTGGAACTCGAAGTTCCCTGTAATTTACGCCTTGAATTCTGGTTGCTATGGTATTGTTACCAAAGTAATCAATACCCTGATTATCCAGTCGATCACCAAAGTGTACTGGAAGGAATGTGCAAAGAAATAATTAATAAAGTCACGTTGAGGATTCACCAGGTGAGAGACAGTGAGAGAGAGAGAGAGAAAAAGGCGGGAAGAGAGTGAGGGGGAGAGAGAGAGAGAGAGAGAGAGAGAGAGGAGGGGGGGAATTAGTTTATTTAATGTCGTCGCATCAGAAATGAGCTTTTTCTGTTATGTGTACGGTTCTATTCATCTATTATTAGAAAATCAAAGCCTGTCAAACGAATCCAGCAGCTGAATAGTGCCACAGCTGAACAGATAAGAAACATAATACTTTTGGAAACAATTATGGAAATACAATACCCATGTTTTGTACGAATATCAGTTTATACCAGAGTGCCGTTCCTCCGGCAATACTCAGTCAACTGAATACAAACTGAAAGCACTGTGACGCCCAGATTAATCTAGCTAACAATGATCACAAGCAAAGGAGCATTGATTATGCTTGTTTGTTTGCTGTTTATATGACGGCGGTCTGTAAATAATTGAGTTTGGACAAGACAATCAGGCAATTAACACCATGGGCATCGATCCACGCAATTGGGATACGATGACATGCATCAACCAAGTCAGCGAACCGCACCAGCTGATCACGTTAGTCGTTTTTTACGACAAGTATAGTCGCCTTTTACGGCAAGCCTGGAGACCTATTCTAGCCCGGATCTTCACGGGTCTAGATAGACGCAAAATTAAAACAAATATATCATGCTAAAAATAGTATCAAACGCATTATGGCCATCCTCATCAATACAGTTGGTTGGTTGGTTGGTTGGTTGGTTGTTTAACGCCGTACTCAGCAATATTCCAGCTATATGACGGCGATATGTAAATAATCGAGTCTGGACCAGACGATCCAGTGATTGATATCATGAGCATCGATCCACGGAATTGGGATCGATGACATGCATCAAAACAAGTCAGCGAGCCTGACCACCCGATCCCGTTAGTCGCCTTTTACGACAAGCAAGGTCACCTTTTACGGCAAGCATGGGTTGCTGAAGACCTATTCTATCCCGGAATCTTCACGGGTGGAATCTGACCAGCAGATCACGATAGTCGGTTTTTTGAACAAGTATAGTCGCCTTTTACGGCAAGCCTGGAGACCTATTCTAGCCCGGATCTTCACGGGTCTAAATAGACGCAAAATTAAAACAAATACCTCATCCTAAAAATAGTATCAACCGCAATATGGCCATCCTCATCAATACAGAGTATTTCGTGAGCAAAGCCATAATGTTTGAATTTCATAATCATTATCTTCCATTTCAAGATGCAATATCATGCAAGTGACAATGCCGTATCCTTGGACAAGGTTATTGACTCCACTGGTCCCGCTGTGATAGGACTGAAACAGTTGTTGACTGTGATGTGAAATGACAATTGAGCATCATTTACCCTTCATTGGAAAAAACGACAACAAAAACACGTGTATTGTCAAAGGAAATGAATTTTATATCAACATCATTACAAGTTATGCCATGAATGAGAAAAAAAAGAGAGAAGGTATTGAGTCCACAGTTTGGAGGAAGCGGTTAATTTTTCAGCATTCGATCAATCATCAAGACTGAAATCATGAAACTCCCTTTAATGCTCCAGAATGTCACAATTGTCAGTCAGCATTGTGTATGCCAGCACGGGAATCAATGCGCATGTGGCTAGACAAGGCCAAGCTGACCCACATCTGATCAATGACATAACTGAAGAGGCCGGGCACGTGCTGATAGACGCTGCACGCGCTGCCTTCGGGACCCGGAGGCAGGGTGTCGGTAAGAAATATAAGATGAACAAACCATGGTTTGGAAAGGAATGTTTAAATGCCAGAAAAAGTTTTTACAAAGCAAAACGCCGCTTGAAAAGATTTAATTCTATTTATAACAAACGCCTGTTAAAATATTAATCTAAGGCTTATAAGAAATGTATGGATAAGCATATAAAACAATATAAAGATAACTTAGGTAAAATGTTAAGAGAAAACCACAAACACTCTCCAAAAGAGTTTTGGAAAATGTTAAAAGGAGATAAAAAAGATGACAATATTTGTCCTGAAATTGAAGAATTTTACCAGTTTTTTAAGTCACTCAATGAGACAACTTCAGAAGACCCGGAAATGAAGGAATATACTATGGATACACAATATGACTGTGAAACTTTAAATGGAGATATCACACCTGATGAAGTTATGATAGCAGTAAGAGAACTAAAGAGAAATAAAGCATCCGGTATTGATTTTATAGAAAATGATTATTTTATTGATAGTATTGATTTATTAACCCCTTTGTTAGTTGAACTATTTAACCTGGTATTTGAAAAGGGTATACTTCCAGAATCTTGGTTAGTGGGTATAATTAAACCGATTTACAAGAAAAAAGGTGACCCACTTGATCCTAACTCGTATAGGCCAATCACTATCCTTAGTTGCTTTGGAAAACTATTCACCAGAATTTTAAACAACCGTTTAACTAAATTCTTAGATAAAAATAAGATTCTAACACCTGCCCAAGCAGGACTCAGGAAATCTTTCTCAACTGCTGACAATATATTTGTAATTTATATGCTTATGCAAATTTTAAAAAATAATAAACAAATATTATACTGCGCTTTCTTAGACTTTACTAAAGCTTTTGACACTGTTTGGCGAGTGGGATTGTGGAGGAAAATGCAGACTATTGGCATCAAAGGTAGATTTCTTACGTTAGTTCAAAATATGTATAAAAATATTAAATCGTTGATACAGTGTGATGATAAAATGTCAGGTTACTTTCCTTGTAATATAGGTGTCAGACAGGGAGAAAACCTATCCCCTCTATTATTCTCAATTTTCATAAATGACGTGGAAATCTTTTTGCTTTCATCTGGGTGTGGAGGAGTTAATCTCAACTATGATCAAGATAAAGACTTAATTGTATGGATCCAATTCATAATTCTATTGTATGCAGATGATGCTGTATTATTTGATGAATCACCAGAAGGTTTACAGAAAGCCTTGGACACTTTTAATGAATATTGTGAAGAGTGGAAATTACATGTAAATATAAATAAAACAAAAAATGGTTATTTTCGGTGGTGGCCCATCGAAAAATTCGAAACATAAATTTCACTATTCTGATAAAACTCTAGATATTGTCAACACTTATACGTATTTAGGAATTGTACTTCACAGGAATAGAAAACTAGTATCAAGTCTTAAGTCCCTAGGTGATAATGCTTTGAAAGCAATGTTTTGCCTGATAAAAAAATCAAGAAATTTAAATTTACCTTTGGACTGTGTATTATCAGCTTTTGATACGATGGTATTACCAATATTAACTTATGGTTCAGAAATCTGGGGCTTTGAAAATTTAGAAACTATAGAAAGAATACACCTCAAATTCCTCAGACTTATCACAGGATTAAGAAACACAACTCCTCGTTATATGATATATGGCGAATTAGGTAGGCTACCATTAAGAATAATAATTTGTAAACGAATGATATCTTTCTGGCACAAATTAACATATCAAACTGGTGTGTATAAACTTTCACAGCTGTTATATCAATATCTGACAATTAACGGGAACAAGACTATTGCATCAACAAATCCCTGGGTTAGATGTGTTATGAATATATTAGACAGTATTGGATTATCTTATGTATTTAACAATCCGTCAATCTGCACAACAAAGTGGCTAGTGTCAGGAGTAGAGCAAATACTTAAAGATCACTTTTTTCAGAAATGGAGAAGTGACGTTAATTCTAGTTCTAAAGGCTTATACTATAAACATTTAAAGGACTCTCCGGTTCTCGATAATTATCTTCTATTGCCAAAACGAATAGCAATTCCAATACTACGATTTCGAACCTGTAATCATAATTTACCTAATGAGACTGGTCGATGGAAAAATATTCCAAAGGAAAATAGAACTTGTAAATTATGTAATTCCCCATCTATTGCTGATGAATTTCACTACTTATTCAGATGTAATTATTTTAAATTAGAGAGGCGAACATTTCTCTCACCATATTATACTGAATGGCCAAATATTATAAAATTTGTAAAACTCTTATCAACAACAAACACACAGGATCTAAAAAAATTATCGAGATTTATTGTAAAAATGTCCATTAGTATTAAAAATGCTAGGTAATCACGTTGTTATTAATTGCCATCTTGTCTGCTTTTTGTACATATGCATACTTATTTATTGTAATATGCTCTTGTACCACCTTTTGTGGTTTCTGAGAATAAACTGATTCTGATTCCGACTCGACGATGAGAAATGGGATTCAACACTATTCTTCTCAGAGGGCTTGTGCTAACTGATCTTTGTTATAAGGGCGACCTAGTCGTGCTCTAATTTGTCGGTCAAGGTTATCCTACAAGTGTTGTATAGGTGATAAGTCTGGTGATTGTGCTGGCCAAGGTAAGATGTTGTATGGGGCCTCTTGTTATCTTGTTGAAACAGGGTCTGTCCTGTTCTGTTGCAAGAACGGTAGTACAACAGGGTAGAGAGATTGGTCAGTTGAACGCTGTCCAGTGATATTTCCTTCCAAAGTCATCAGATCTGTCTTGACTTGGCTACAGCTGCTGAATTGACAGGACTAATGTTGCCAAATTGACAGGGGTACATATGCCGCATTGTAGCACTAATGACGCCGCATTGACAGGGCTACAAATGCTGCCACCTCCAAACGGTTCATCTTGAATGCAACAAGGTTCTACTTGTTGGAGGCCTTCACACAGTCTTAAGAGAAAAAGCTCGAATCTGCTATCTTCTGTTCTACCAGCGTTGCAGTGTCAGCGTTACGTCTCGTAGTGGTCTGCAAGCTCTGA